CCATTTGTTGCCATACAATGACAAGCTACTGTCCTGAGGTCATTTGAGGACAGTAGACTGTCATTCTATGACAACAAATGAGCAGAGCCGGCCGTGACTCGGGAGGGGGATCCGGCCGTGACTGTGGATCGGGAGGGGGACCCTACGCTGTTTTTTTTTTCTTTTGTTAACTTATAAATGTTTTATTCTGCTCACTACCTCGGAGGTAGTGAGCAGAATAACCGAGCCAGATGCCACTCGGCGAGATTCGGCTGCTCACTTACTGCCATTCGGTCCCTATGAGAATAGGGGCTAATGGCAGAAAGTGAACTGCCGGATGTTTGGTCGAACGGCTTCTTCACTTCAGCTCAGCCGAACATGCTGACCATGTTCGGCTGAACCAAATCCAGCCAATGTACGGCTGATTTTAGCTGATGTACGGCTGTTATCAGCCGTACAGGGCTGAAGTGAATAGCCGAACGGCATTCGGCTCACTTCACTTCGGCTCGGTTCGACTTCGGCCTTCGGCAGCGGAGTGAATAACGCCCTTAGTTTCCTGCAGAATCAGCTGGACCCCTGAGCACAGGTCCTGATATCCTGTTTTATGGTGTCTCCTGTCCTTTGCAGGGTCCTATTGAGACACTCTTGTATGTGCTAGTAAGCTGTGTGTCTTTGTAATATCCCCTTCGCACACCGTACCGATGTACCCCAAAATCCAACGGGTGCTGAAACAACTGGTGGATGGTGCACAATGTACAATCTAGAAGATATATTGTCCGCACACCATTCTGCTTACCAATTAAAAGGACATTCCGAAGCAGAATGGTGTGCGGACAACATATCTTTTAGTAAGCTGTGTGTGTCTCCACAAACAACCAAACACAGCCGGGCAAGACACTGCCGTGCTCCTCCCTGCTGCCCTCTCTTCTTCCTCCCTGCTCCAAGCTAGTAGATGGACAGCTGCTGGAGACTGCTCTGTCCCTTGAAATCTTTTACTAGACAGGAAGTTCAGGGAAGCTGAGAGAGTTGGAGCACTGCTGTTTGGAAACATGATGAATGTAAGTGCTTAGGCAAAAATGTTAAAAAATACTATGCTGGGCAATGTATATTTGGATACATTATTTAAAAAAAGTTTGAGAGTTTAATACTATTTTAAACTTGTAAGATTTGCTCTTCTGAT